CATCCTTGAAGCTGGATTTTTCCATTTGATCAATTCCCACCGTACTAATAAAAGTGGTACAATGCTTGGAAATTGCCTAAAGGAACAAACAATACAATAGATTGAAATGGCATGAAAACCAGGTACAGACAGGGGTGAGTTGCAGCAGCTACCAACAAGTATTGAGTTGCCTTGCTCAGGGCAGCATCAGAAAAAAAAATAAGGTAAAGGTGGAAAAGGGAGTGGAATTTTTTATCTAGGTTCAGGTATGTCTACATGGATTGAGCACAGGAGTGTAAAATGTGTCTTGTCTGAACACCCAGTCTTTGCTATGGTTGGTCAGATTCGGGTGAGGTGATATCAGGCGGTAGGTACCCATTGGCCCCCTCAGGGGAAGAGGAGGGTAGGGCACTCCTGGAAGCAGGAAGGTTGAGTCACTTCAGGTCTATTCTCCTACAGGTAGTCATGCAACATGTGAGATTAGATATGTAATCTGTACTGTTGCCAAAGCGGTAAATGAATAAAGGAGGTTGCAAAAGGCGTGGAAACTCATTCAAATGAAATTGTGTGTGACAGTAGAAAATAAACTGCAGAAAATAATAAAAGAATAAAAACCTTAAAGTTAAAGGAGCTGAAATGTTACAGATTCTTAAGTAACACTGCATTGCCAGCGATTTTTCTGGCCATTGTCTCCCCATTTCCTCATGAATACAGAGATACTTCTAACATTTTCTAGATAATAGTGTCATATATTAGGAGATAACTTTGGAAGGCTTCTTAAATTTCAAATTTTTCTCTCTCCTTTTATTAAAAATAAAATAAAATCAGTTTTTTGACTCTCCAAAGTTTGGTGAGAGTTTGGTAATTTGTGAGAGTATGTGGGGGTTGGTTCCACCTAAAATGCTCATCCATAATCTAAAGGAGTTACCAAATGTGTAAGTTTTCCATATAGCAGAAGCAAGGAAATTCCCTGAAAATTCTTTATCTCTGAAGCTAGAGCAGTTTCCTATCTTCAGTAGTCCTATCCTTCTTTCCAAGTAAATATTCAAATTATAACACCCGAAGTTGTCTGGAAAAAATATAAGCTACTTAGGAGGTGAGGTAAGTTTTTTTCCCAAAGATAGTTCTAACAATTTTAAAATACCTAGAAGTTAGCTGGATGTTTTCAAGAACAAATACATTTAGCTCCTGTGCAGAATGATCTAATCATGAGGTTTGAGAAGGGAACTCTGTTCAGTTCCTGATTCAGTCACTGATTTTCCCCCCATTACTGTCAAGGTCATCCAGTCTTCCTATACCCCATTTCCCATGTACAAAATGGGGCTGATCTTTCCAAAATTCAGGTTGGTGCTAAGAAAGCAGAGATCCTCATGTTTTAAGTATGGTAGGACAGAGGACTTGGGCTGCACAGACATAATTTAAATCCATTCATTGTTTTCTTTCACTGTGTTCCTACTTGCCCTGCTATGGAAGGTGTTAGAAAAGTCACTACCACCCCTATTCCAAGTTATTCAAACATAAGTTTTGACACAGTGCCAGCTGGTACACCTGGGGAAAAGGGGCACAGAATACAGCTCAGCGGGGAACTTTTTCATAATGACCTCAGATCCTAGGATGAAGAACGCCAGGAAATGTTTTATTTATCCTAACCAGCCCCACTCCAGAAGCACCAGAGTTATACTGACCTAACTGGCTCTGTAAATGCCCCAAAGAACGCAACTCAGATGTAACTGCTGTCAAGTGATTGCTTGGTAGATGTAGGACTGAAACACAAGGCTTGGTAAGTGCCACAAGAGCTTAGATGCACTTAGCTGTAGACTTGTGGTCTGTGGAATTATGGAAAAGGCTGTTCATGAGGTTAGGCACCTTATATATTTTCCTCAGACCCTGCTATTCTGAAACATGGCCTTCTAAAGAACAGCTCAAACACCTACCTATGGAAGTTAAAAATGCCTTCCTTTGATCGAGACAGCTTTCAGATCTGCACTCTCGCCTTAGCCCACCTTCCAAGGAAAAAAGGCTGCACAGAGATCTCCTTTTTCTACTGATGCTCGACGTTGTCCTTGCAGGATACCAGCACAACTGCACACATCACAGGTGAAACGCACCTGGGAACTGTTGAGACTGAGCACGTTTTCCTCCCGCAAAGGGTCATGCGTGAAGATAAATGTCAGCCCTGAAGGAAAACAAGACAAGGCAGCAGATGTAATGCATCCCTCAAGTGGAGCACGGAGCTCCAACATGCAGGTCCAGGTGTTAACAGTCCTGTTGTAACTCACAGCTCTGGAATCCCAGGCTGGAATTGGCTCTGGGATGCGTTGCTGGCTCACTGTGCCTGGCTGGCCAGCAGCCACAGGGAGAGCAGTGCCTTAGAGCAACCCGGGGCCAGGCGGATCACGCTTCAGGCAATGCAGGGCTTACCGCAGCTCTCGTGAGGGCCAACGAAGCTAAGAGTAGTTAGGACTGGACATTTTCCAAAACATCTGGAGCAACTGAGCCTCTTCAGCCAGCCCTGCCCCGTCTTCAGGTTGTGTTCCAGGACTACAGTAGAGGTGCCTGTTACTGGATTAGATATTCAGTAACTAATTGCTGCAGTGATGACTGAACCAAACACGTGCTCCTAATCCTTCCTCTGCATCTTTCTTACCTCTGTGTCCTCCTACTGCAAAGTGGTGTAGCCAACACACAATGGGTCTAGCAGCTGGAACTCACCTGCATTTTCAATACTTACATCTCTACCTTAATAATAGGGAACTGGTAGCTGGTTTTCCACCCTGCTTGGCACCAGAATGGCTGTGTCTTCCAGCCTCCACAGGAGTTAGCACCGATGCTCCTTTTTACTGGAATTTTCTATGAGCATCAATCCAATAGAATTTATCCTGCACAGCCTGGTAATACCCATTGTTTCCACAGGGCGTGCAGAGGCTGGAACTTCAGTAAGAATCACTTGCTTCTTTTTTGCCAATCAGACTTGGTTAAATACAACTGGATCCTTCTCAAACACAGTTTGCATGATGAATGGCAGCACCCACATTCACAATATTAGTCACATCGAGATTGCAGCATTGCAAGTTGCACAAAAATGTAAATGAGTATCATATGAAGTACTTACGAGGTCCTTCAGAATACTGTCCTCTTTAAAATACTGCGGATAACACCTGAGCTGATGCCATGCCTTCTTCCTGTCTCTCCCAAAATAATTTCAAACCTGTGTAAACAGGCAAAAAAAAGACAAAAAAAGCTTTGCATTTAGTAGCACTTTCTTCTTCTATTGAGAACTTCCATCTAAATGTAAGGTTTTTTGCTAAGTTAATTCTCCATTTAAAGAAAACACTAACCAGTATTAAATAATGACATGGACCTTTACTACTGTAGCAACAAGCCAGAGTAGCATTAAAAAGGTCCCTCCCCAGACATGTTCATTTAACTAAAAAGTGAGTA